TAATCACACCGTATTACCGGCGGCAGTGATGGCAGATCACTGCAGCTGAGTGGCAGATAGCTGAAATTTACCGCTCCGGTTCAGGGGTTATAAATTTTGGTTGGTATTATTTATATTACACAAATACGGCACATTTTATTGCTATGAAACTATTGTCCATTGACTGGAAAATACTATTAGGTAATTTTGGGACTCGTTTTTCCTGTTTTTAGACTATTTTTGAGCAGGTTAAAAAAGTGACAGCTTCGGAAAATCCGTGAAAATGTCCTATTTGTTGTTCAAAAATATCTCAAGTTTTAATTAAATGGCAGGATTTCGTGTTTTTTAATATAGACGTTCATCCATCGGGGTCACGCAAGCCTATTATTTACCCCGGGAGTCTTTTCTTGAAAGTTTTACAGACGTTCAATCTGGTCTGGTCGAAGAAAAAATGCTGCCATTGTAGGCAGATACTTATTTCAATTCCTCTATTTTTTTCGCCCTTTTAGTCGGAATTGAGACGTTAAACTATCATTTCTAACATTTTCTCAAGATAGAAAAGTTATTAATGCGGTATGTGCATCGAAACAGATTTTTAGCAACACGCAGATACAATACAAAAAGTGTTGATTCAATACGACCAAATTTCACTATAAATACCTGTAAAGCCATTAAGATGAAGAAATTCATTTTTCTATATTCATGCATGTGTGCTTGATCTGCTGTGTCTACATGCATACAATACAATATGTATCTTAAGTTTAGCAGCGCATAATTCACTGCCTTTTCAAGACATAACGCTATTTGCATACAACAGCTGTAACTTCAGTAAGTGGATATTCATTTGCTAGCATATGACATTATTTTCTCGAGGTTCATCGCTTTATGACATATAAAGCCTGAAATTTATTTAGTCGGCGCTAATGCTGCAGAATAGAAGTTACTAAGTCGAGGTTATATAGGGAAGATTATTAAACCTTTCAACTGACAAGATCTGTGGACATCAGTGTATCATAAAACAATGTATGTTAATGCAAAATGGACATTAAGATAATATTATCGACAGTTCAAATATTTTCCTATATTATCAAGTTCTTGAAAAACACGACAAAGGAGATTCATTTCTATAAATTTTCATGTTTGAAATCGCGTCGAAGTTTGCCTTTGAATTACATTTACTATGCTAAAATATTAACAACAGTACTTACAGTAAGGTGGACATACAACGCGTTCCATGATAACCGCCGTATGAACACATCTGTGGATGTTTCTAAATTCAAAATTGTTCTATTTCATGTTTAAATGTTGAATTCTGCTTAAGACGGTGCTAGGGGGCTTTGACGGTAACTTGCACTTTCCAGTACCGTCCATGAACAGGTTCAATCAAACCGAGCCTGCAACATTTTCAATTTTGCCGTGTTGGGCTTTCTTTAGGGATTCTGTATTTAGCTATTGTAAGATGCATACGGTATTGTAAGCATGTAACCGACAGACACAACAGATCAAGCACACATGCATGAATATAGAAAATGAATTTCTTCATGTTAATTGCTCTATTTATAGTGCAATTTGGATGTACTGAATCATCACTTTTTGTATTGTAACTGCGTGTTGCTGAAAATCTTTTTCGATGCACATACCGCATTAATTACTTTTCTTTCTTGAGAAAATATTAGAAATGATTGTTTAACGTCTCAATTCCGACTAAAAGTGCGCAAAGAATAGAGGAATTTATAAAAGATTGACTTTGATTTTCTGTCAGAATGTTAGCCACTTTCATGGTATTTCTGCCATCGACGGCAACATTTAAAATAAGTATCTGCCTACAACGGCAGCATTTTTTCTTCAACCGGACCAGATTGAACGTCTGTTAAACTTTCAAGAAAAGACTCACGGGATAGATATTTGGCTTGCGTGAACCCAATGGATGAACGTCTATATTAATAAGACAAAATCCTGTCATTTAGTTAAAACTTGAGATATATTGAACAAAAAAAAACCCCAGATATTTTGACGGATTTGTCCGAAACTGTCACTTTTATCCTGCTGAGAATAGTCTAAAAACAGGAAAAACGAGTCCAAAATTACCTAACAGTATCTCCAGTCAATGGACAATAGTTTCATAGCAATGGAATGGGTCGTATTTGTGTAATATAATAATACCAACCAAATTTATAACCTACCTGTACCGAGCGGTAAATTTCAGCTATCTGTCATCACTGCAGTGATCTGCCATCACTGCCACCGGTAATACGGTGTGATAATGGAGCCAATATAAATTTACTGTTGATAAGTTTTCTTCAAATATTTCATAAGATATATGCTTATTCCATTTAACAAATATATCTTGATCTACATTATTACCACGACACGCAACAACTTAATACTTTAAGCGTAATAATAACTGTTTAACTGTATATTTGAATCGCCACAACGAAAATGTTTTTCTGAAAGCTGAATTTCACACAAAGACCAAATTTAATTAAATTTATCAAGCTCAAAATATGTTACATGTACCTTATCAGATATCACATAAAAGGTTACACAGCCACTTGTTGATTTAACATCCGTGTTATTTGTGCCGTGTGGCGGCTGTAAAAAGTCTCCCCGTACATTTAATCAATGATGTTATATTTTCGATCCTTAAAGATCGTTTCAGCCGACATTATTGTTGTGCTTGTGGTATTTTAAGTTTCAACTTTTCGGCCATTTTCTAGTTGGGTGGTTCAGTATTCCTCACTTGAATTGTTGAATCACCCTTAGGATGTGTGGCCTGCTTTTTAAATTTGTCCTTTTGACGTCGTATCTGTGATACGCAGGCTTCATAACCTCAGATTCCCTTTCAAAATTCCTTTTATTTAGTTCCGCCCATTGTTTTCTCGTTTAGGGCACACGCATTTTTTACATGGGGACCATATGCCGCTTTTCATGGAAATGGCACTATCGTGTCACATTGAAGGTTCCATGATAACCGCCATATGAACACATCTGCGGATGTTTTTTCAAAATTCTAAATTTTACCAGTTTCATGTTAAATGTTGAAATTCTGGCCTAAGCCGGTGCTAGTGGGCTCGGACGGTAACTTGCACTTTCCAGTACCGTCCATGAACAGGCTCAATCAAACAGAGCCTGCAACATTTTCAATTTTGCCGTGTTGGGCTTTCTTTAGGGATTCTGTATTTATCTATTTTATAGACATAGATGGTTAATCATTTCAAGAAGAATTGTGTTTCACTAGATACTTAAATTTATTCCTTTCGGAAACTTTTGCTGAAATTTAATCTTCAGCTGGTATCTTTTAAGATTTGAAAGTAATCAAACGTATAAGAATAGATGTGATTTTGGAAGATGAATTTAAACGGTCAGAAGATCTTATTTTGAAAAGTGCTTGTTGCTTTTAGATGAGAGTTGCACGTTTTACTTTGCATAGAAAAAAAGATTACCAAAACATTTGAAGAATATACTGTATACAAATTAACTAACTGAATTAAAATGTAAAGATATATAAAGTTGGATTACTTCAACGAAACGTTTATTTATTCGTAATATTGCCTGAACAAAATTCACTTCAAACATTAACTTTGTGTTTAGTTTTGTGATATGTAAGTACAGTGAATTGTTTTACATTATCAGTTTTAACACATTTTATTATACATGTATGATCTAAATATAGCTGCACTACAGTTGGTCCAAACTGAAGTCAACGGAATTTTTTATATAATCATATTCACTGGGTGTAGAATCATATTCACTGGCTGAATTTGATTTTCTCTGTCTAAAATAGGTTAAGGACAATATATTGTAGACTGTAAATTACGCATGCTTATTAAAAAAATTGTTGCGTTTTGTTCTGTACGGTACTTTTTCCGATTAAAATAACAATACTCCACTATTATAGTTTAAAGTTTACACCTCAGTGATGATTATAAACTTGAATAACTTTTATATGCGCAGCGTTCTTGTATTTGTTGCACGCCTGACAGTGCGTGTGTTTTCCGCGCTTCAACGAAAGAGGCAAAAGTGTTCATGTACTTTCTAGGTTTTTTTAGATTTCTTAAAGCCTATTCATATAATAAAACAATTATTGACCAGTGAGCCATTGAATATGATGTGATATTCACTGCCAGAAATTCAAATTTCATTTGCATGTAAATATCACATCATATTCAATGGCACACAATTAATTATTGTATAGAATACATTTGGTCTTTAACTTAAACATTCTGTTCACCCGACAAATTCAAAACAGAAAAAACAACTTATGTTATTTGTTTACACATACAGCATTGTTTTTATATTTTACAAATTATTCCTTTTTTAATATTATTTTCCGTTCCGCCAGTTACATTAGTGTGGCAGTGCGATGTTAACACGTCTTCTGTTTGTTTGTTTTTCTTTTAAGAATGAAACCAATCAGTCATTATTATAAATATACATGTATTCAAACTATCGTATTATATGAATTATGATTCAGATATAGACGGCGATTGTTTACTTATTTTCTTTAGCATCGCAAAACATACCATTTAATGAGAAGAATGTTCAGTAGTAATCGTGTAAAAATTACATTTATCAAAGGCAATGATGTCTACAAATAAAAGTATATATATGTATCATGACGTAACATTAAGTTTATTTCATATAAGACATAAAAGTTTCATTTTGGATTAATTGCTTTTCGTCGTCCCCTGTAATTGTCTTCTCTTTTGAATTGTCCAAAAAGGATGTTCTATAAATATAATGTGTATTATTTACATTGGTTGTTTCCGAAATAAAGCTATACAAAAGCTTATCTCTTTAACGATTTTGGTTCATTACACTTCTTGGTGAGAATGTAGCTTAAAATCAACAAATGCAATGTTTATGATATTTGATGCGTTACATATTTGCAGGTAATTTTTATGTATAACTTTTTATTTAAAGTAGGTGAGTAATACAAGCATTATACACTCATGAGACTGTGAACGGAGACTTAATTATGTATCTTACAGTTATCTTATTTAATGTTAACTATTTTGAAGCCCAGACGACCACAGTATCAGTTACAGTATTTGAAAGTGATGACGTTACATTTGCCTGTACTTTGACAGGAAGTTTCACTTTACCAGAATGGAAAGGTCCACCACAGTTAATGAAATATACAAACCAGGATGATACCTCTGAAACAATAAGTCCTCAGGCGCCCGCTGCAGGCAGATTGCAATATGCAAGTACAAAATGTAATAAAAAAGATTTGATTCTATCAAATGCACAAATAAGTGATTCCGGCGACTACAGTTGTTCGTATAAAGCATTAGGAGTACATACAGTTATCTTTCAAAAAACAGGGAAAAAATTTTGGGGATATAAAAAAAATTTTTTTATTTTAAAATGGGAAATAAAGAAAAAAAATTAAACAAAAACAGTTTAGGAAGAAAAATTTGGTATCAACCCGACAAGTTCAAAAAAGATGCCCTTTTCCAATTTTTATGTTTTCAACTTTATTTAAATTACAACAAAAAAATCACAAAAAATTAACCCCGACAAAAAGGCCAGGTGTTTGCCGATTGGTGAATGATAACTCGGGGCGAAATCTCTACTTCTTGTTTTGTTTTAAATCCTTTTTGTTTACTTTTTGCAAGAAAATTTATTTTTTGTTTGGGAATTTTAAAGATTTATGGTTGGGGTTTTTTAAATTAAAGTAAACATTTGTTATAAAAACCCAGGTACTTTTTTGGTTTGATTAAAGTATTTTCCAAAAAAATAAACCTGGCCCCTTTAACCTGTTCGTAAAAAAAGACAGGATAAACACTTGGGGAAACTAAGGGGTATTCGTCAATTGGGATAGATTTACAGGGTATCCATCTGAAACTTCCAAAGGGGTTTAAAACCCTTACCCCCCCAGTTATTTAAAAAAACATATTAAAATTGTTTTGTAATTACTTCCAAAGGGTTACTTTTTTATCGTTTTTACTACCCCCCTTTGGTTTTTTAAGGGGATTCTTTCATGTTTTTGGTTTTTTAACAATTATTATCTTATTTCAGTATAATATCTTAAATAAAAAGTGTAGATGCATTTTATCGATTTACAAGTAGATTGTCACGTTTGCGGAATTTACAGACTATAGGGTCAAATACAAGAGTGCCAGGTCAATATTGTATGACAATATTCGATTACGTGTTGTTTATAGAATTCATACATTCTGTCGACGAAGGCAGTCACCTGACATCCGACCTCTAATAGGTAAACATTCCAATTACCAAGCTTTAAATTCATATTAAATCTGGTTACGAATGTCTTAGCAGTCAACAAAAATATGGTATTTATACAAAAATGTTTCCCTTTAGAACAGGCACTACAAATGATAATTTGATATTGTACGTAAACGTTCGTAATAAGTAATTGAACATTTCATACATTTCAGAGAAATGCGTGCTATATGAAACTTAAATAAAACAATTTTATTTATTTTATTTAAATCTTATCAAAAGAGATTACAGTGTATAGTAATAAGTAAAATTCTATTCTAACACCCCACGTGATTGTGTCACTATAGACAAAGAAGGAACAAACCGGTGTTAAACTGCCAATAAGCACTGGTAACTGGTAAAGGGACTACTTGTATATGCGGGTGCTATGTTTTCACCCTCGATTATATAGTTTACAAGGCCTTTTAAAGCAACCATTAAAAGCATTTTTATTTATATTCTCAATTTTTATACAATTTTCTTTTCATACGATACCGAAATAATATCTCACATAAAATAACGCAACATATTTGATTCATAAATCAGTTAATAAATATCTAAACAAAACGGCGCCAATCCGTAAGCAGCGTAATGACGTCAGTAACTACTGACGTCATCCAAAGTAAACAACTCATTCATAAACAAGCTGATGTTATTACATACATACAAGAATGATGAATTGGTCACTGATGTAAGCACAATACGACGTAAGTTTTTATTGTTGACTTGATAAAGAAACGTTTTTTTCTTATTACATGTATTATCTCTTTTGTTATTTAATTTCTATATCTTCGCAACAGTAGGGTGCGAAAATCGAACAGCGTTATACGAAAATCGGTACCGGAAGTTATTTCCGGTTGAAAAAATAACATTAGTGATCTTCCTTATTTTATCGTGTTAGAATCGAAATAACATCGTCCTGAGAGTTGTATATCGGCTATTTAACACCGGTTTTGTCGTTTTGATGCGAAAAAGTTAACCACTCAGGCCTACGGCCTTCGTGGTCAATTCGTACGCATCAAAACTCCAAACCGGTGTTAAATAGCCGATATACATCTCTCAGGCCGATGTTATTTCTTAATCAACAACCAACGCATAATAACGTAATCATTTTTATTTTCTCAACCCTATTTTCTCATAAGATGATGTTTAAAAAAAATAATGAACTGCTCTTGGCCAAATTAATTATGTAAATGCTTACTAATGAACACTTTCTTATACGTCATATCTTGATATTTAACAAGCCGCAGACAGTTGCAGCAGCAATCGCAACTTGGGCGCATTGTCGTACAGGAGCAGAACGCCTTGAGTCAGTTTCTCCCTCCTTTTATGCGCAACTTCTTGACGCAGACGTCAGAATTCGTCTGGATAATGGTACGACCTTGCTCAAGATAGTCAATGATGATTAGCCCCTAACTATCCAAAAACATTGAAGCGATCATCTTCCCTGCTGATGGCACCCTCTTAAATTACTTCGGAGGGGGTGATCGAGGATGCTTCCACTGCATGCTCTGTTTTTTTATTCTGGATCGAAGTGATGGACCCATGTTGTATCATGAGATAATATACGGTAGATAAAATCAGATTCATCATCGTAATGAGACAAAATATATCTTGAAAAGTCCAGCCTGGTCCGTTTCTGGTCGTCGGGCAACTGTTTGGGGACCCATCTAGCGGAAACCTGAACCTGAATCGCCTGAACTGTACCAAAGCTTATACCCACTTCCCAAGCAATGCTATGCAGGTCTCACCTTCTGTCGCACATGACAAGATCTTTCACAGCTTCGGCAGTTTTATTGTTGGTGATCTCTTTTGGCCGCCAAGGTCGTTTATAATCTCAAAAGCTTTCCGTGCCCCTCTTAAATTCAGCAGCAGTCCATTTTGTCCACACTGCTGTAAGAAGGGGACTCCTTTCCAAGTGTATCCATGCATTCTTTATGGATTTCCTTTGGGGACATCCCTTTGTTACAAAGGTACTTAATGACCTCTCTGATTTCAATTTTCTCCCCGAGGTATAAATGGCACACCACTATACTGATCAAAGTGTGTTTGATGTTACTTGCTCTGTGTAAAACCGCGTGTAACTCGGTCAGTAATGTTCAAGAGTATATCGGTATCGACGTATTGGGTGTAAATGTCAGTGAAGTGGCTAGAAGTATATCGGGCCAAGAACCTTTTGATCATGCTTCGTATGTTCCTGTACTCTCAATATTAAATTGTAAAATTTACAACAACAGCCATGTGTTTGTTTATCCTCAAAGACACGTGACTTGCTTGTCGATATTGGTTGAAATGTCATTTTAACTAAAATATGTTATTTTAAACATATCCACATAGCACAGTCAGCTATCAATTGTCAAAAACGTGAATTAAAGGTAACTTAAGACTTGTTTGTAAACAAGCATCGAAATAATGTTTTGGTTTATTACATAAGCAAAAAGTGCAAAAAATATTGCCGACGAGACTTGATGTTCAACGTCATTTGAATACCAATATTCACTTACATAACTCTTTTCTAATTATTGTGTTTCTATAAGCCATTTCAACCATTATAGTAAGAGTATCAGGGATAAATCTATCTACGGTATTGAATTAATTTGCAATTAAATGTAGCAGTGTACAGGGAAAAACACTGATAACCAGTGTGCATGATTTCTATACATGTATATACATATCTTTAACCTGGAAATAATTATTAGCTTAATTACATATTTAATCGATGACATTAACCAAACTAAATAATAGCTTTAAGTGTCAACAACAGTTCAAGTTAATGCTATAGATTCTATTCAAAATATGTACAATATGTTCATGTTCATGTCTCCCAATTCATGATAGCAAAATGTATATATGTAATGGAGGCTTCTTATTGTTTGTGAATATGTTTCAGCAGACTCAACACTTATAACAACACCTACAAGTACAACTACACCTGCTAAAAGAACAACTGCTACAATTACACCTGCTAAAACAACTGCTACAAAAACAGCAAGATCGATAACTGGTAACAGTTTTATTGCATGCTTTAGTTGAATTCTATCCATTCAAAGACAGAAATTAACTTTTTATGCTTTAATTTCGAGGGGTGAAAGCGAAAAAGGTTCTTAGTGCATTTTCCAAAATTTTACAGGAGAAGCAAAAAACTGTCTCAAATGTTTGTAAAATAGCAAAATTCCACAACACTTTGATTTTACACATAAAAAAGTTAAAGAAACATGTCAATGATAATAAAAATTCTAGGAAAGACTTGGCAAACAAGATATTTAATCAAATGTAACTAAGAACTGTTTCGCACATAACATTTCTCATATTTTGATTTTTATGTTCAAAGCGAAAAGGTTCCAAGTGACATTTTGATACAACAAAAGCATGTGTTTTTCTTATTTAATTTAAGATAGAGCAACATTTTGGCATTTCTAAATATTCAGTAAGAGATGGAGTATAAATTGCCAGATAGAACTGTTTCGGATTTACTTTTTATTTTGAATTCATATTTTAGGTGTGAGACATTCTCTTACCCACTTTCAAGTTCATGAAATTTTGAGTTGGACTGTGTTTAAATTAGAAACATAAATAAAGGTCATAATTGATAGTGTACAAAACTTTTAAAGAACATGATGGGCATTAATTACACCTAAAAAACAAAAAAAAAACAAATGCCAATTAATTTAATAATCATTTTTAGCTTAACTATATGAAGTATATGGAGAGCTGTCCTCCTTGCCCCAGCGTCCGCGTCCAGATTTCAGATTAAAGTTTTGGTGCAGTAAAATACTTAAGGTATCAGCTTCAAACTTCAAATATATGTTCTTTGGCCTTCATGGTCAATTCCTATGCATCAAAACTCCGAGCCAATAAACACCGGTAAGATCGATATTATTTCTTGATCATTACATGTTGTGTGACATGGTATATAACTCTAGCGTTACTACTTCGAGAATTATCCCCCCTTGAAATTTGTATTTATGTTAACAAATGTTATTTTTTTACTGTAACTTCTTGTCATATGGATACTTAGAGTTACAAAATGCAAGCTCCTGTATTCCCAGAATTATCCCCATTTAATTTTTGAAATTCATTTGTAAATTGATTTTTTAGTATTATCTTTATTGTTATAAATTGTATCTGCTATAGACTTAAGATAAATAACTGTTCTTTGTCATTAGTCACATCATGCATGACAAGGTTCATAACTCTTTTTTCAAGAGTTATTTCCACTTTGAACTTATAATTTACTTTAAATTCGTTTTGCTTTTATCATTTTTGTTTTTGAAGGAATTGACTTCAGATTTCAAATTGCTGTCTTTCCATTAAAATAACATTATTTTATTGACAAGATCATTATGTTGTGCAAAATATAGAACATTTGACTGCTTTCTTGATACTGATACAAAAATATATTTATATCATAATTGATTTGTCTTTCATAGTTTTGTCTTCCTTACTGCATCCATTATTTAACCGCCTCCGTGGTCGAGGGGTTAGAGTCGATGACTTCTAATCCAGTAACATCTCTGGCGTGGGTTCGATCCCCGGGAAATGCTTTGGGAGTTTAGCGCGGAGGAAGGTAGTCTAGTACTGGTGTAACTCTCCAGGAACGATGGTTAGGAAACTACCCGCCTATATGACTGAAATACTGTTGGAATAAGGCGTAAAATGAAACAAACAAACAAACAAAGCATCCATTATTTGATGATATGATATGATAAACAAGATCAACAAGGAAAGGCGGCTTTCAATGAACGCAACGTCGAGCTTCGCTGTCTCCTGTGACAGCTCATGTTTTCTTGCATTTCCTGTCATATTCTTTAATATTCAAAATAAAACAGTTACATTCATATTCTTTCATAATCATATTTAAAATGGTTACCTTCAATAAGATATTTATTCATGGAAATTAATGTCATTTCATCCACAACTATTTTGTAACAATAGTTTTTGCATTTATTTTTAAACAACTTAAATATTATAAGCGGCTTAATGAGGTCATTCTTAGCTTAAGTTCCATTCTAAAATGCGCCAAAATGACACTTTCTTATGCTGTTCATAAATAAATTGCGCTCAAATGACGCAACTTATCTGGCATCCCCATGCTGTAGGGTTATTTAGGATATGGGTCTAATGCTAATTTAGATCGGGAAAATCCGATTTAGCCAGTGAATATGATTTTATAATTTGTTCTGATTACCACTGTTTGAACCAATGAGATTACAGCTATTTTTAAATCATATAATAGTGAACAATATTCTCTGAAAAACTTTTTGGACTTGTCTGAAACTTCATTCAAAGTGCAAGAATATCTTTGCAATAAACAGTTTCACAAACAGTCCCAGAATATATTTGAACTGAAAATATATTTTACAAATTGTGCATTACATATAACTTGCACATTTTTTTTATTATATGGGTAACACACTTGAGACACCCCCATGTAGCAACAATACATAGAAGAGATGATATGTCTCAAGGCCAAGTCCCAAAGGCCACCTTCATTAGCATAAGTGTGACCCATAACTATACTTTCTTTTACATTGTTTATACATCAAAGTCACCCATAGCTCCACCTACATTAACATTTTCTAATATCTCAGAGGCACACATAGCTCCGCTTTCATTCATTTTTTTTAATATAAATATAAATAATATAATATAAATACAATATCTTGTAATTTTGTCTATAATCATTTCTACCTACTCACACCAGATTTCTGATTATCATCAAAAATCGCTTTTAACCATTCTAAATATCTCACTATCAGCTGTTATCTCACTTTCAAGAACATCACCTGATATCGTATTGTCATCTAAAGTTGTGGTCTCATTTACTCCTGGCAGAGCCCAGGATCACCCAGGTAAGTTACTGGGATTATCGGGGTGAATTTTTTTTTGCGGCCACATTTACCTCGGCAGTACTACTGTTATTCCCAACTAACACCCTGAGGATGCCCCCGGACCATCCAGAGCCGGCAGAGCCCCAGTTGACTAAGGCAGAGCCCCAGTCGATCCAGGCAGAACCCAGGACGTTTTTGGCAGAGCCCCGGTAGAACCGCAGTGGATTGAAAACATGCAAAAATGATGATGTTGATTTTTATTAATATAATTCGAAATGATATTTTCTGCTATTTAATAAGTAATTCAAGATGATTTTCTGACTAATCCTAGTGCAAGACTGGACAGAAGAGAAATAGGGGAAGGGTTTTATTACAAACAAGTGCAATTATTGCAAATTGCCGTAATTCTTTTGAAATGAACCGAGCTTTGCCGGGGCTCTACATGGATCAACAGTAGCTCCATCGTCATCCTCCGGGGCTCTGCCGGCATTCATCGGGGCTCTACTGGCATTCACCGGGGCTCTACTGTAGCTCTACCAGCTATATCATACCCAAGATCATCCCTAGTTTGTGTCAGCAGAGCTACAGTGCTTCCCTGGCGTAACCCGGTCGTTCTTGGCAGGGCTAAGGATGAAGCTGGTAAAGCTATACCTTCCCGGATCACCCCGGTGATATTAAATATTTTATTCGATCCAGGGTTGAATGCTGAATGTTCCGGATCATCCCGGAGGTTGCAGGTAGAGTTATGAATGAATCCCGTTTGTTCCTTGATCATCCCCGGACGTCTATCAGGGCTCTGCCAGGGTGTGAGACCACAACTTAAAGCTAAGTTTTTTTAAATTATGTCCCTGGATTAATTACAACCAGCTTAAGCATCACTTTCAGTAACATTATCAGATTTCTTACCGTCATCTATAGCCCTACCTTTAATATCATCACACAATTTCTCACAGGCACTCAAAACCCTTTAAGATAGTGCATGATCATTACTGGCCATGTACACTTAGAACTGTTTCCCAATAATTTCATGAGTGAAGTTAACTACGAAACAGTTCTAAGTACCTAAGTTTTCTTCTATAATCAAGACATCTACTCTGAAACTAATGAATTTCTTATGTGATATTATTTAATAATATACAATAAAAGGTTTAGCTTTCAAAATTGCTTTGATTTCACTTATTTTAATGCAGTTTGATTTGTTTTAATCTTGTACATTTTATACTCAATGAAAGCGAAAAGGTTCTAACTGCCATTTGCAGTTAGAACCTTTTCGCATTTTACAAAAAAGGTTAATTTTACTTAAAACCTTAGGACAATTTTTCATTTCACCCTTTTATAAGTAAACTAAATCTTATATTTTGACTTAAGATGTATGTGGGTGTTTATGTTACAAATATATAAAAAAGTGAATTTTGTAAAAAAAATGAGTTAAAACCTTTTCGCTTTCACCCCTCGATTAGTCTCCCTTAAATTCATAAACTGAACGATTATTGAGGAATTCTCTAGAATTATTAAATTTAATTATCAAATATTAAGATCTAATTTTAAGAATAATGAATTTGAAAATTTAAATTTTTTGTAAGAACACTTACGATCAAAATCGACCCATTTGCAAAAACATATATATTCATATATATTTGAAATGTTTCATTGCTATTCTTGTTTTATTGTGCTTGTAACTTTTATTTATCTCTACAATATAAATAATGCAGATTAATACATCTACGGAAATGGCATCATCACTATCATTTCAATTGTTTGTCGTCTACGAAGTTTTTTCACTTTTTCAGAAGTATGTTACAAATCATGTATCAAAAACGCAAACAATAGTTATTTGTTGATTTCTATGTTAAAAGGTACCTTACCAAAGATCAAGGTGGAAGTTGAAGGTGTTGGAGCCTTTGTTGACCTTGTTGTCGTAATACTTCTTTTAGCTGTTTAGAGATATAAATGTATACAATATATAAAAACATTCATTACGTTCAATATGTGTTTCACAATTAAAACAAAATATTTTTTTAATCTAACACTGTCGGAGATTTCCCTTATATATAAAAAGCTTGAACCAATTCCTGACTTAAGATAGAAGTATTCTCAGTTGAAGAACTAGCATGTAATTGTTTAGTTAACACATTTTTTTAGGTATTTTTATCTCTTTATGTCTCATATCAATATATATACATTTAAACAATAAACTCTGATTATTATTTACTCCTAAAGCAATAAACTCTGATCAGTATTTACACCCAAAATAAACACACATCATTTATAAACCACTTATACGAAATATCTTTTCACGTATATACGTCTTTTATACGAAACAATACTAGATACCTGGCGAGCCCAAGCTTTTAACAACTTATGATCAAATAAAACAATAAAATCACCACTAATGAAGAACACAAATACGAATATTTAACAACTCTAAGATACAGTATACACCACAAATATTCAACCAACAATATTATCTTCACAAAATCTAATCATCATCACAAAAGCAAAGTTAAACAGGTATAACTCAATAACCAAAATAACTAATTACAACCAATAAACCCTGATAAATTAAGATCACCACAATTAAATTCAACCAACTTCAACAAATCAACAGAACTCCCTTCAAAACAACAAATTCTCTTCTCAACAAAAAAAAAAAAAAAAAAAAAAAAAAAAAAAAACGCTACACACTATCAGCGTGACTCTCCTAAACTGATGTAAAAATCTCTCCCTAAACTCGCATATTTCCTATCAGACATTTACATGTAAAAATTCAAACCACAGCATCAGGTTTCATTGAAATATGATACACTTCGTTGAATCGCTGAAGAAACAAATTAACTCGGTTTTAAAACAAATATCTACAGTAAAGCTGTACGATTATTCTGACACCTTTTTAACATAGAAATCAACAAACAACTACTATTGTGTACTGTTTGGTATAGATGAAAAATCCTTTCTTATCGTTTTATGTGTTTTGTACAAGAGCATGCATATGCTAGTTTGGCTTAACATATTTAATCATTAGCTCAATTCATAATAGTACAAATTTAGCCTTGTTCTAACAGTTCCTTTGCTGAAGTTTCATTTGAATGGAAACGGTTACATTTTTTGTATAGTCAAGGACTGTAGTAAATATTATTTACATCTACATTTATTTGCATAAATAAAAACTTACTGTCTTTTATATTTACATGTTTATTATAATGTTACGCATATAGAAAATAATGCAGATTTGAAATCTCAACATTCTATGTTATCATAACACTCGATTGATATCCAGTTTGCAGAACAGCATATTTTATTTGATGTGAATTAACATAGATATATTGCGCTGTACTTTTTTAAATGTTAGTATGTGTTTTTTTTCTTTTCCTTTACAGAATATACTATATGCATATTGAAAAGAATTAAATTAGGAATGATTAAGATACTGCGAGGTACCAAGCATTGCAATTTGCAGCATGCAATAAGATTGAATTAAGTCATTCGTTTACCTCCTTATTTAATTGTGATTTCGAATAAGTGAACTTTCATTCCACTCTTTATTCGATTAAATACATGTATTTGTAGTTGGTGTTTTTGTATTTGAAACGTTTACTTGTGCATATGTCGACAATTTTCAACTAAACCACAAGACCACAAAAGAAAACAAAAGAGAAAAATATTACAACTTACGCAGCATTATATAAATAGTTTAGTACGTGTATCAAATACCAATCTGTTTGGTGGTGATGGTAGTTTTTACTCCGGATCACGACAGTAAGCCACATCTGTTTATAGCTGTGTTTTCCTTATATACCATTTGTTTGTAATGCGTATTGTCCTGGGATGATAATTTGGTATTGGAAAAGGCCGTTATTGGGGAAACTGAATATTATTCGTGATTGGAAGTGCCAGAAACTATATATAGTTTAATTCTTATATGAATAAGTGCCATCGCTGTGGTTAAGTTGGTAATCAACGTAACTGTCACTTTAATGATTTGCACTCATAGGTTCTAAATTCTGGAAACAAAGTGATCCCTCGAAAGCATTAATCACAACAATATTACAAGAGAATTTCAGACTCGGTGAGAATTGCACACTCTAACCCTTTGTTTCGCCATGTTATAATGCTGATGTTGATATTGTTTTTCTCTCATTTTTATTAAAGGGATACTCAGGCAAATTAATGATAAAAATATTAAAATGATCCTATGTACTCAAACTACGCTAAAATGACATTTTTGTAAGTCACAGCATGAATTTCTATATTAATTCTATGTGTTTTTGGTTTGAAGCGTATGTCAAAACAGCCATTTTATTTAAGAAAAGAAACACAAATGTCCGCCATTTTGTATCATTTATTGTTTTGACGTGACGTCACTATTGTGGCGTTCTATCCGGTTTGCGCATTGTGTATTTATATGACATGAAATTGGAAATAAAAAGAACACAAAAAATTCAATTCGAAAAAAGCTTCATATATTGTCAGAATACTTATTTTCAGAAAGTCTCCTTGTTGGTGAGCAGCTCCAGTGAAGGAACCGAATAAAGCAGCAAGTCTAGAAAACGGTCGGCTTTCTAGTGAAGAGTTGGGCCTTAGCAACGGTCCGCTTCCCAGACAAAAGCAAATCTTAGAACGGTCCGCTTCCCAGAAAAGAAGCAAATTTAAGAACGGTCCGCTTCCCAGAAAAAAAGCAAGTCTTAGAACGGTCCGATTCCCAGAAAAGAAGCAAGTCTTAGATCGGTCCGCTTCCCAGAAAAGAATCAAGGCTAATGAGCACAGCAAGTCCAATAAGCACAGCAAATCCAAGAAGCGCAGCAAGTCCAAGGAGCGCAGCAAGTCTAAGGATCGCAGCAAGTCCAAGAAGCGAAGCAAGTCTAATAGCACAGCAAGTCCAAGAAGCGCAGCAAATCAGGAGTGCAGTAAGTCTAACGTGCGCAGCAAGTCTAATACCGCAGCACGTGAAAGAAGTGCAGCAAGTCTTATAGTGCAGCAAGTCCAAGGAGCGCAGCAAATATAAGAAGCGTAGCAAGTCCAATAGTGCAGCAAGTCCAATAGTAAAGCAAGTCCAATTGTGCAGCAAGTCCAAGAAGCGCAGCAAGTCTAAAAAGCGTAGCTTATCCAATAGTGCAGCAAGTCCAATAGTGCAGCAAGTCCAATAGTGCAGCAAGTCCAATACTGCAGCAAGTACATGGAGCGCATCAAGTATAAAAAATTATCTAGTCCAATAGTGCAGCAAGTCCAATAGTGCAGCAAGTTCAATAGTGCAGCAAGTCCAATACTGCAGCAAGTTTTAGCTGTGCAGCAAGTCAAGGAGTGCAGAAATTCTTAACTTATAATCACAAGTACCGCTCTGAATATCGATAACCAAAACTTGACAGCGTAAATATATTTATATATGTTGAACGAAAAATCCAGACGCCGACAGAAACACCAAGTAGTTTAAAAACAAGTCATGTGACTTGAACAAACCCTGGAAGTGACAGTAATAGATATTGTGTTTATTGTATGATAGAAACAAGTCTATATCATTCATATGGCATGTTCTTTAATGTCCACAGAGTTCACTGTGGCAACTGTTGTGAAATATTAACACTCTTACCTGACTCACGTGGGTCAAGTTAGGAAACCACCATTTTATTCCTTATAAGGTGAAAAGTTTTGTTCCTGTGACTACCTAGTGTATTCATTTTGAGGACATTATCTACGGAAGCTTATCAGGGCCTCCACTTATCTAAAAATTTCACGTCATGTCAACTTGTTTCTTCTCGTTTTGACCAAAAACAATCAATGAAGACGTCATGATTAATACGTAATACATAAAACATTCCATGAAGACGTTATGATTAATACTTAATAGGTCGAAGTTTTTAATCATTGCGAAAAACTCTGTGAATTACGTGAGCTATTTGTCAATGCGAGTAACGTCTTCGCGTCTTTCTAAATATTTCAGCAAAGTCGTGAAATCAAGAAGTTTCAACAGGATTTTTGTCGACGATACAAAAGCTTCAATCAAATCTAGAAAAATTCAGCTGCAATGCCTAAAAGCTTCTCATCTTTGTCAGTAAATTTTATTGAGAAATGCAAAAACATCTTATCAATGCGAATAAAAATAAGATGACTTAGCGCAAAAACATCTCACCAACTGTAGGCCCGGATACGCTTTCGTAATTAACAGAATAACGAACGAAAAATTCAAAACGAAGAAATGAAATTTTGCCTGCGTCTCCCTTTAACTATTTTTGTATGATCGTTTGAATATATTTTGTTCTTCAAATTTTCTTTTTCTATGTTTTTTTTTTTTAATTTCAGTCTCGTTCCACTATTTATAATGATAACAACTTCATGTCAAGTGATTATTTTTCTAAGATTAATTTAACATTTAAAAAATTCAAACTAATTCAAACATAGTACGATAACGATATTTGACTCAAGTTATTATCCTGGAACAGTACCTCGCATAATTTGAATTCACATTTTACCACATTTCTTTCGAATAAAAAGTATCGGTCATTAAACTTTGATAGCATTCAAAAGTTGTTGTTAAAATGTTTTGAATTTTAAATATGTACGGTATTGCCTTTAGACATAAAATACGATTTTTAACAATTAATGTAGTATTGAATCTACACGGATATACTATTTTATTTATCACATATGAACGATTAACTGTTAAAAGGAGTTTTTTTTTGACGCGCCTTTAGGGAAACGCTAACATCAGTGCGCTTTAACTCTTTAATGTTTGTAATTACATTAGTGTTATATCTTTTTTATTAAATGGCTTTATAACACTCTTGTGCCGCGGTTCATGTGATAAAGTACTTTAGAATCTAAATATTTAATGAGGCGTTTAATCATCGCATAATCTTAGAATTCAAAAAAGGCATATATGCAAGACAAGAAATGAAAGCCATGAAAGATTATACTTTTTTATGTAAATAGATTTTTATCTGAAAAGAAATGATTGATTGAATTCATTTTCTTCAGATTATTGAAAAAAATGAATAAATGGTAATTATTTTGTTACACATGTATTGAATACCAAGTAAGATAAAAAAAAATTCGTCTTCTATCTTCATCAGCAGTCATCATATCATGTCAATATCTTAACAAATATCTATATATAATTTAATGTTAAACAATTATATATTTACATTCCAGATTCCAGTTCAGGCACCGGCACAATAAATACAGATATTTCCTGTGACATATTTGCAATAGTTTTCGCCGTTGTATTGTCGAAGTAGATATGTTAGAAATAGGTTTCAAACATTTTGTACAAAAGGTTTATAAAAAAGCAAGTAAATGTCGGTTAATTTCTTGTTTTCACTAATTATCACCAAAATCACGATGTTGAAATAGACTTTCAACTCAACTTGCTTATCTGCTATTTTCAGTGGTTGATTTGTGCCATTCGTGTTTTCGGAGCAAAAACACAGATGACTAGCGAGGGCGTGGGCGAAGTTTAATAAATGAAACTTCGGTCCGCGAGTTTTAAAATGTTTAAATAAATTTGTTTTCGACATTCATTTTTACACTATCCAAACACTGTGCCGAGTTCCTGTAAAGTTAAGTTTGTAATGATATAAACAGGGAGCTCAAGCAAAAGCCATATGGAATGAATAGACAAAGATACAAGTTTTAGGTGTGTATGAAGTTGTTTTGTTGATTTGCAACGGACAAATACATTTATTTTATGTTAGATAACAGAGCATTGGACATATTTATTTTACACAGATTGACATGTCTCATTGTGCATAAATTGGTTAACATAGTGTATTTATGACGACATTGCCGACAAAACCTCAGATTCATACAACCTCTTACATTTTATTGTAAAAACGAAATTATGTTACAAAACTATGTTAAGATTCTGTAATCACAACACTTATCATTATTAACATAATAACAATCTGAACACATAATAGAATCCTGAAATAGTTATCTTAGAATCGTACAACATATCTTATACGCAAATGTAATTTTATATTTATCACTCATACTATTATGAATATCATAATGTCAAATTACTAAAAGAAAAAAGTCTGCGTTCAAAAGTTCACAATATGCTCCGATACATTAGACTACTGTAACATTGATTTCATAACTACCCTCACGGTGCCTAACTTTTCAGTTGCTGTGCCAAAGGGTAACAAGTTTGCTCTTTAAAACGAATTACATGTAAGCAAGAGGTCTTTTTGCACCTGTTGAATATATGCTTAATTGTTTGAATGGCAGGAAAATAATTAAGAACTTCTGATAGATCGAGTTGCATTTGCAAACAATAGTAACATAATCAGTTATTTCCGTCAGTATTCATATATTGAGCTAAAATGAGGAATAATCGACGAGGTGTTCCGAAGTTAAAAGATCGGTTCACGGTTCACTCGATCATATGATAGTGTTTGGTGATATTGTTACCAAATTACTCCGTTTTTTGTTTTGTTTTTGTTGATTTCTTAGCTCACCAGAACCAGTGTGAGCTATTAGTATCAAAGGGGGATGCTCCGGCGTCCGTCGTCATGCGTCAACAGTCGTCTTCTTCTCTGTAACTGTTGGGCAGATTTACTTCAAATTTGGTATGTAGCATATTCTTGTGGCAGTCACACTTCACTTTGCTCATGTTATTAAATTTTAGGGCTGGGAACGAATAAGGAATTTGATGTTCGAATATTCGTTTTCCATATTCGAATATATTCGAATATTCGTTTTTACAACATTTGTACCAATATTTCTCTTTGACGTATACGTATCCGAAATTGATTGCGTCGAATACTGTACAATTTTAATATGTTTGGAATAATCGACGATTAAAAATACCTATATAACTACGTAAAAGTTTTTTATTTTATATATTGTAAATCGACATAAATGTTTACTTTTGAAATAAATTCATAATTTGATTGCCTTTTGTTGCTGGTCATTTGTCTTCATGGTCTTATTAACGGTAGGTAACTCACGTGACTTGATTGACAGTAATATGAATCACCGTAGCTTCTTAGCCCCCAAAACACATAATTTACATTGAAACTTAACTTGAATTAAATATATTATTTATTTATAATTTTAGATAAGGTTTAAAATATTTTTCAGATACATTTAGCTATAACGCAGTAAATATCACACGGAGTCTTAGTTTCTACGGAATAAATATATTTTGACAGAATATAGACACTGACCATGCTTACATAAAGCACCGATTAATACGTGTCGATTTTTTCGTCTTCACAGAAAGACAATGACTGAATATATATATATAATCGGACAGATTATTGCACAGAAAACAATAAATAAGATAATTAAAATCGGAAAATTACATTATATTCTGTTCAACAGGTAAATTGCAAACTGTGAAACGGGTGTCCTTTTGATCAACTATAGACCCCAAAGTTTTCACAGTTAATTGGCGATAATCGTTGACACGTGTCATACAAACGTGTGAACAACTGGTTAAGTAAAAAGTAAAGGTCAATGATTTAATTTGCTATCTTAATTGAAATTTGAAAGTAATTACAAAAAAAAAACACTTTTTTTTCCCGAATATTCGTATTCGTTTTTCAATGTTCGAATATTCGGTAGTGTTTCGAATATTCGAATATTCGAATATAATTCCCGGCCCTATGTTATTTTAATTGGCCCCTTTAAGGGATCAACAAAGCTAAAAATAGAAAAACCTTTAAACATCTTCTACTATAGAACTTATTGATGGATGATCATCAAATTTTGTTTGTAGCATTCTTGGGTAGGCTTTTATATTTAATTGATTGGCCCCTTCTAGGGGTCTCTATGGCTAAAAAGATAAAAACCTTTAATCATCTTCTACTACAGAACTAATAGATGGATGATCACCAAACTTTGTCTGTAGCATTCTTGGGTAGTCTTTTATCAAGTTTGCTCATATAAATTCTAAAAAACAGAAATACCTTTTAACTTCTATCTCTACAGAACTAATGGATGGACGATCACCAAACTTTATCTGTAGCATTTTTAGGTAGTCTGTTATCAAGTATGTTCATAATTATTTGATCGACCGCTTTTATGGGTCTTTAGAGCTAAAAATAGAAAAAAACCTTTAGACATCTTCTTCTGATCACTAAACTTTGTCTGTAGCATTCCTTGGTAGTCTCTAATCAAGTTTGCTCATATTAATTTCAGTGGCCCCTTTTAGGGACCTCTTAAGCTAAATATAGAACTACCTTTAAACGTCTCATTCTAAAGAACTAATTTATAGATGATCACCAAATTTTGTAAGTAGCATTCTTAGGTACTGTTTTATCAAGTTTGTTCATATAAGTTTGATAAGCCCTTTTTAGGGACCAATAAAGTTAAAATAGAAAAAAAAACCTTTAAACATCTTCTACTATATAACTTATTGATGGATGATCACCAAATTTTGTTTGTAGCATTCTTGGGTAGGCTTTTATATTTAATTGATTGCCCCCTTCTAGGGGTCTCTATGGCTAAAAAGATAAAAACCTTTAATCATCTTCTACTACAGAACTAATAGATGGATGATCACCAAACTTTGTCTGTAGCATTCTTGGGTAGTCTTTTATCAAGTTTGCTCATATAAATTTAAAAAAACAGAAATACCTTTTAACTTCTATCTCTACAGAACTAATGAATGGACGATCACCAAACTTTATCTGTAGCATTTTTAGGTAGTCTGTTATCAAGTATGTTCATAATTATTTGATCGACCGCTTTTATGGGTCTTTAGAGCTAAAAATAGAAAAAAACCTTTAGACATCTTCTTCTGATCACTAAACTTTGTCTGTAGCATTCCTGGGTAGTCTCTAATCAAGTTTGCTCATATTAATTTCAGTGGCCCCTTTTAGGGGCCGCTTAAGCTAAATATAGAACTACCTTTAAACGTCTCATTCTAAAGAACTAATTTATAGATGATCACCAAATTTTGTAAGTAGCATTCTTAGGTACTGTTTTATCAAGTTTGTTCATATTAATTTGATAAGCCCTTTTTATGGACCAATAAAGTTAAAATAGAAAAAACCTATGAACATCATTTCCTACCGAAGAAATTGATAGATGATCAACAAACTTTGTCTGTAGCATTCTTGGGTAGGTTTTAATCACGTTTGCTCATATTAATTTGATTGGCTACTTTTAGGGGTCTCTAGGGCTAACAATAGAAAAACCTTCAACATCTTCTTCTACAGAACTAATGGATGGATGATCACCAAACTTTGTCTGTAGCACTCTTAGGTAGTCTTGTATCAACTTTGCTCATATTTATTTGATTGGCACCTTTTAGGGGCCGCTAAAGCTAAAATTAGAAATACCTGTAAACGTCTCATTCTACAGAACTAATGGATGGATGATCACCAAATTTTGTTTGTAGCATTCTTGCGTAGTTTTTTTTTATCAAGTTTGCCAATATTATTTTAATTGTCACCTTTTAGGGGCCGCTAAAGCTAAAATAGAAAAAACCTTCGAACATCATCTCCTTTTGAAATAATTGATGGCTGATCACCAAACTTTGTCATCAAGCAGTCGTTTCTGGTGAGCGACTCAGAGCCATCATGGCCCTCTTGTTATAAGAAATCTGCCTAAACACTTTTCCGCTGAAAATGTCTATCATTTGGAACTTTATGCTTGTATCATAAATAAGAGGTCCAAGTTAAGCATGATAATAAAAAGTTAAGCTAGACATATTTATTATGATAATATTCTAGCAAAAGTCTAAAATCAAATTAAACGCTTAAACTACAAACTCAACAACAACATAACTTTAACTCCAATAAACTCATATAACCACTACAAATAGAGAATTTCCAGTTCATTTACCATTTTGTTTGCGCATGCAGCTAGCATTGTGTGCAAAAGTAGATTGGCGCGCGACGCACTTTCAGAAACCAGTCTTCACGACTTTTATGATTTCACCATTCACCATTAAAAATGGCATACAAGTGGTTCAGATAAACAGTCTGATGTGCAATACAAACAAAAGTAAAAGATCATAAATGTACATGTTTACTCAATAGCATAATCATTTGTTCAAAAGTGCAACTTAGTGCAACATATACTAAAAAAGGAAATATATTTGCACTACTTGTGCTATACAGGATTGATTCACTTACTTTTGATTGACAATTCCTAAACAAAATATTACCAGCAGATATCATCCTATTTTTAGCTTTACAAAATATAGATCAACATTTGAATCAAGTTATCTGTAATTTCATTAATAAAATCTGATATTTTGCGAAGCTGAAGGGCTGAAAATAGTACTATGCCTCTACGCCACCTTAACTGGCGCGCTGGTGACTTTATCTAATTTGAAATGACGAAA